AAAAACATTTAAACTTACATCCTCTTGCATTCTTTCCAAATTGCAGCCTTGTTTACAAACTGCAAATTAGAATGGGCTGTTAGCATAAACCATTACATAAAAGCAATCTCAAACAACCAATTAGAAGATCCATATATACTAATATACTTCCAGGAATCTACTGAGATCCAAAGAAGACTTTTTTTTGCAATTCAAATAACATAAAATAATGACATTGAAGCGGTGACACACTTCAGAAACTGGAGCACAGAGGCAGAAAAAGAAAGTGAAAACTTGGTGCTTTACACTTTTATTCCCAAAACTTTACACCCATATACAATATATTTAAAAAAGCAGCAGCTGAACATAAAATAAATACTCCCTCCGTCCCAAATTGTTTTGCAAAGTCAACATTTTTTGGTCAATCAATAATAAAAGTCAATGCTCCGTATCGATAATTAATTCAATTTTTAATAATTAAAATTTACATATTCAGAAACTACATTAAAATCTCTTCAAAGTTGCAAACTCTAAATTAGAATATAATTAAAAATTGACATCGTAATAAAGTGAATAAAATGAAACTGTTTGACCAAGAAAAGTCAAATTTGCAAATCAAGTTGGGACGGAGGTAGTAGTACTCAATCACAAGTGTGATAATAGACACAAAACAAAGAGGCAGAAATCATTAACAATAACAACAAGATCTTTACACGGACATTAACTCATATTTGAGAGTGTAGATACATTTCAGACATGTAGTTTAAGTACGTAAAGTAGTGTAATTAGATCATATTGAAGTTATAAAAAATAGTATGGAGTACTATGCAAATATCAACAATCAAATTTTCATATTAATTGCTGAAATATTAGAAGCAAGTGACAAACAATCTAAAACATGTGAGCATTGTTCACTGCTCGAGCATATCACATAACCTGGAGATAATCTTTTGATACATTTAGGTGACTCATATGTAGCGACTTTCTTCACGCCAGCTTCGCATAAAAACAGCAGTCATTTCTTGTTGATTGATTGTTATTTTTACTTTCCTACACGTAAAGAAACATAACAAAAAATGTTAAATACAACCACTTTTACAACACATATATAAAGTAATGAACTAAGGCGAATCATTTCAAAAATAAGCTGTCAAACAACCTTACCCTGGCCACACGATGAGGTATTATCACCGGATCTTTTCTGGAGGGGTACCATAATTGTAAATATCAAATTAGTAAATTGATTTGCCATCATCATATCATTATTTGAATATATACAAAAATGTTTTACCCGGTTATTTTCTTCATTGGCCCTTTTAGAAGACTGGGATTGGTATAAGAAATATAACCACGGATTATAGCAGATTCTACAATAAGAAAATCACATTATCATTAAATACATTAGAGCATACACAAGCTGTAATTCCTGAGAAACCAATAAATGATGAGTTTCCAGATGAGGGCCTTTGGGCCATTGATAAATCTATAGTTCCTTGGTTTGCTGATTATGTGAATTTCCTAGTTTCTAACATTGTTCCGCAGGACCTAAGTTACCACCAGAAAAAGAAGTTCTTTGCCGATGTCAAGCATTATATGTGGGATGACCCCTTGCTCTTTAAACGATGTGCTGACGGAATTGTGAGGAGATGTGTGCCCGAGGAAGAGATGGTCCAGATTCTCAACGATTGTCATTCCTCGCCTTACGGTGGTCATCATGGGGCTGAGCGGACAGCAGCAAAAGTTCTGCAAAGCGGCTTCTATTGGCCAACTCTTTTTAAGGATACTAGGAGTTTTGTGATGGCGTGTGATAGATGCCAGCGTACTGGAACCATCGGTAAGAGGCATGAAATGCCTCAACAAGGTATTTTTGAAGTTGAATTGTTTGATTTGTGGGGTCTGGACTTTATGGGTCCATTTCCTCCTTCTAATGGTAAGCTTTATATTCTTGTTGCGGTCGAATATGTGTCTAAATGGGTAGAGGCAATTGCCTTACCTGATAATACCGCAAAAAGTGTGGTCAAGTTCGTTAGGTCTCTCATATCCCGCTTTGGTGTGCCTAGAGCTTTCATTTGCGATAATGGTGTGCATTTTAAAAATTCTCAGTTTTTATCCTTGCTTTCCAAATTTGGTTGTCATCTCAAATCTGGAACCACTTACCATCCGCAATCAAGTGGACAGGTAGAGGTTTCCAACCGCGAGATTAAGTCTATTCTTGAAAAAACAGTGAACTCAACTCGGAAAGATTGGTCATTAAAGTTGCTTGATGCATTATGGGCTTATAGGACTGCCTATAAAACACCCTTAGGGATGTCTCCGTAAAGGTTAGTCTATGGTAAGTCTTGTCATCTCCCTGTTGAGTTAGAACACCGTGCTTATTGGGCTGTCAAAACTTTGAATTATGACTTGAAAGCTGCAGGTGAAAAGAGATTGCTTCAGTTGAATGAACTTGATGAGATTCGCCGAGAATCCTATGAGAGCTCTCGAATTTTTAAAGAAAGGACTAAGGCATGGCATGATAAAAAAATTCTAAGGAGGGAGTTTAAGGAAGGGCAAGAAGTTTTGTTATTTAACTCTCGTCTTAAGCTTTTTCCAGGTAAACTGAAATCCAGGTGGTCAGGGCCCTTTGTTGTGACCAAAGTCCATCCTTATGGAGCAATTGAGATCGAGGGCAGTGAGAAGAGGCCATTTGTGGTCAATGGACAAAGATTGAAACACTTTTTTCGCGGGGAGCCAGTTTCTAATGCTGAGTCAAACACCCCCCATTCGGATTGACGTATTTTTTTAAGTGTCTAGCTCTAGACGTTAACTAAAGCGCTTATTGGGAGGCAACCCAACATTCATTACATTATCCTTTACTTTTCAGTTTTTTTTTCAGCTTTCTACTTTCTTCCTTTTCTGTTTTTTTCCTTTTGTTTGCAGAATAAATGATGATCCGATGATGGAGCATAGCTTGGATATAATCCAGCTGAGTTCTTCTAAATAAATATTTCAGGGAGTACTCTTTTCCCTTCCTCTTTTACTGATTAACATTGAGGACAATGTTTTCTTCAAGTGTGGGGGAGGTTGTTTGGTTTTGGCCTTAAATTTCAGCAGCTTTGAGCTTGAATTCTTCCCCAGTTTGGACCTTTTATGGCCAATGATGAGTTTAATGCCTTGTTAGTGTCAATTTTAGTTAGTTTCTAACATAGTGCTAGTTTTTTTTTACAATATGCCACTGCTATTCATAAATAAAGTATCTATGGATTTTGAGCTTTCTCCTTGTTTCTCAAGTGTGCTGGGCATTTTTTTTAAATGTTAATGCAGTTCTGCAATTCAAATATGTTTTTTTTGGGCAAGGTTTAAACTATAGAATGATGGAATGATTTTCTGAAAAGAAACACTTGCCTTTTAACTTTTGAAGTGCAGTTTGTGTTTTCCTTAGAAGGCTGCTATCCAACTCGTTTTTGATGTTAATCGTACTAGTGTCCAGCTGAGTTTTAAAGTTCAGATTATGCGCTTTCTTTTAATTCTTCAAGAATAGCATGGTCATATGGTTTATACTAGCAATATGTTTGAGTAGCTAAAGTTGATTCTAACTTGGCATTCCTGAGGCAAGTAAGCAAAGCAGACCATGAGGGTCTTCCTGGGAGAATTCTGAGTATTCTGTTGTGCTCAAGTTGGACTTTGCATGTGCTCATTTTTTTTGCTTGAGGACAAGCAAGACCCTAAGTGTGGGGGAATTTGATAGGCCCAATTTTATTATTCAATTTTAATATTTTATCTTGTTATTTTGGGCCTATTTTAATTCATTTTTGGGAATTAATGACTAATTTGGACTTCACTTATTTCTTTATTAGGAAAGGGAGAATTTGGAAAGAATTTTAACTCTTGGGGCCAAATTGCAAGAAATGGATACTTGAAGCTAAAAACATTCCAATCAGCACCTTAGCCATATTGAAGTGCCGTATACCTCTCTTAAGAAGGCATTAGTTTTCAATTTCCAAGTCTTGAACATCATGCGTGAGTATCTCCTTGGCCCCGCAGCGAAATTCCAGCCTTAGTCAAAATTAATGGGTGTAGTCGTTGGAGATTAACTTGCCAATTTTGAAGACCCGAGAATCTGCCACTCCGTCCTATAAAACGCAGCAGCGCAGCAGCAGATAAGGGAGGAGGAACGGAGGTGAAAACTGGAGAGAAAGACAGAGGAACTCAGCCGCTCCTTCATCGATCATCTTCGGTTTTTCATTCTCTATTAATTAGTTAGTTTAATTTCAGATTTCCTAGTTCTTGTATTTCAATTTCAGAACTTTTACTTTCATGTTTATGCTATTGAAAAGTGATTTCTTCCATACCTTGGGTATGATATTTGGCTAGATTTTTACCCGAGGGATTTGGGATTAAAGCTTGGTAATAAGTGATTATCTCTTGTGTTTGGTTCTTCCATTGTAATCGACAGATTATTTTTCCAATTAAATTTATTTTATGAATTTCATTGATGAATTTTGCATTGAGCTCATGCTTAATTCTTATTGTTAGGTATAGTGTGATGCACCGACGGGTGAGGCATGATATTTGAGCCCGTAAAATAAACATGATTCACCTATACTAGACATAGTTGGGGAATTGTGGTGACTTTCAATTGTCGCTTTTTGGCTAGTTAAGTTTAGTGTTCAATCGACGGATTAACACTAGCTTAACCGGTACGCGCTAATATCTCGACGGAGAATTAGCATATTTTAGAACCAATTGTCACTTTAATTGCTTGAACCAACACTGAGATTTTCTATTAATATTAAGTGTATAACCCGAATCCCGAGGGCCATTTTATCTATTGTTTACTTGATTTATTCTTAATTCTGTTTACTTCTTGCTCTTATCTTATCAAAATCAAATCAAAATCAGTTTTTACTTTGTTGATAGAAACTTAAACCATTATAGTTCAATTTGTGCTCCTCGTGGGATCGACCCTGGAATACTCTGGGTTTTACTACGACCGATCTGTACACTTGCAGAAAATAGCGGTCAAGTTTTGGCGCCGTTGCCGGGGAGCGCTTAAATTGTTTCTTTTTGGTTGTGTTTCTGTTAACTACTTTTTTTTTTCTTTCATTTTTTCTGTTTTATTATCACTGCATTATGCTTCACAATTCATTCAGTAAGTGCAGGTTTGTATGCGAATAAGGGGATCCAGAACCCAGCCTAACGCAGATTTGGAACCCTTAGATCTTGAAATTGAACGCACTTTTAGACAAAGAAGAGCAAGAAGAAGGTTAGTTATGGCGAACGATAACAATAATAGGCAAGTTGTTGTCCCGCCACCTCCACGTTTGAGGGATATCCAACGTCCGGTAATAGCCGCCAACCCTTCTTGTATTTTACTTTCTGATGCCGCAAGAAACTATGAGCTCAAAAATATACATCTTAATATGCTTCCCTCCTTTAATGGTTTGGGAACTGAGGATGCATTAGGATTCATGCGTGAGCTTTATAGTACGGTACAAACTTTTCCTTTAAATAATTTATCCGAAGATGAGCTTCGCATGAGATGTTTTCCTTATTGCATGAAAAGTGAGGCTAGACAGTGGTTGTTAAATTTGCCAGAACGCTCTCTAACCAATTGGGAGCAAGTTTATGATGCTTTCATGTTCAAATTCTATTCTAACCAGAAAACAATGGATTATAGGAGTAGAATTTGCAATTTTGTTCAAGGGGAAAGGGAATTATTTCATGAAGCATGGGAAAGGTTTAATTTATTTTTGAACCAGTGCCCCCACCATCAGTTTTCTGTGTTACTTTTAACTCAATTTTTCTATGATGGTCTTACTCCGAATTGCCAAACTCTTGTAGATACTGCTTGTGGTGGTTATACAGGAGATAAAAATGCTAATGAGTTATGGGACATTTACAAGAATTTGGCTACTAATTCTCAACAGAAGGCTGTGAGAGGTCGCAGGGCGGTTGTGCACGAAGTGAACGCCCAACCTGATTTGGCCACACAATTGGCTGAGCTAAATAATCAAATGAAGTTGTTGATGACTCGTGAGAGTCCAAGCAGCGAGGTATGTGCCTTTTGTGGTTCAATTGGACACAATGCTAACTTATGTATTCATGCAGGTATGAATCAACAACCTGGTGAAGAGGTGAACTATATGGGAGCCTATGGAAATAAGCAAAATCAGCCGCAAAAGAACGACCCCTTCTCAAACACATATAATCCAGGTTGGCGGAGTCACCCTAACTTCTCATGGAAGGATCCGGGCAATGCTAGGCCAGTGGGACCTCCTGGGTTCCAGCAAGCACAAGTTACCCCATTTCAGCAACAAGTAATGCCTCCGTACCAGTTCCAAATGCCAGAAAAGAAACCACAATTTGAAGAATTAGTCGTGCAGTACATGGCGAATCAAGATGCAACCATGAAAAAAATGGATGCTAAAATTGACAAGGTGGTGCAATCTAACCAAGCTTCGATTCATACTCTCGAAGTGCAAGTTGGGCAATTAGCTAGAATGGTAACGGAGAAGGACAAAGGCAAGCTTCCAGCAAGCACTGATGTTAATCCAAGGGACGCAATGGCAGTCACATTAAGAAGCGGAAAAAAACTGCCTAACACTATTCAAGAGAGAAGTCTGGACAAGGACATTGCTGTCCAAAGGCAAGTTGCTGCACAAGAGGTAACCAGAGATCAAGTTGACCAGCCAAACACCAAGAATAATGTGGTTCAACCAGCTGAAACTGAGGCAGAAAAGCCATATGTTCCTCTGGAGCCGTATGTACCTCCTATTCCTTATCCACAGAGGCTGCGTAAGAGGAACCAAGATAATAATTTTCAGAGGTTCTTAGAGATCTTTAAGAGGTTGCAAGTCAATATTCCATTTGCTGAAGCACTTGCTAGGATGCCATCATATGCCAAGTATATCAAAGAGTTGGTGTCAAACAAGAAGAAACTCGAGGAGTTTGTGACTGTCCAGTTAAGTGAAGAGTGCAGTGCCATACTACAGAGCAAACTGCCACCAAAGTTAAAAGATCCAGGGAGTTTTTCTATACCCTGCACTATTGGTAATGTTGTTATTGATAAGTGCTTATGTGATTTAGGTGCTAGTATCAATTTGATGCCTTTAACTGTTTGCAAAACACTTGGAATTGTTTATATAAAGCCCACTACTGTTTCTTTACAACTGGCTGATAGGTCGGTTAAGTATCCACTTGGTGTTGTTGAAGATGTCCTAGTTAAAGTGGGTAAATTTTATTTTCCCGCAGATTTTCTCGTGCTTGATATAGGAATTGATTCTGATACTTCTCTTATTTTGGGCAGACCTTTTTTATTAACTGGCGGGGTTTTGATTGATATGCCTCAAGGAAAATTAATTTTTCGGGTTGGGGTTGAAAAGGAGGAGTTTACTATTGCTAAGGCTGTTAATTTCCCTGCTTTTGATGATTCTTGTTATGCTTTAGACTCAGTTGATTCTCTTGTTTCTGAAACTTTTGCTAAGCATTCATTTGGTGAATCTCTTGAAGCATGTATTGCTCTTAATTTGAATGAAAAAGAGGAAGATTCTGTTTTTTCTGATTGTGTGATGAGTTTAGAGGGTCGAGGTTCATTAACCAGTAACTTTGGAAAGAAATATGAGGATTTAGGTAGAAGCACCCCTCCCCTTCCTCCCTCACATGAATCACCTCCACAACTTGAGCTTAAACCTCTTCCTTCAAATCTGAAATATGCATTTCTTGGAAATAATAATACTTTTCCAGTGATTGTTTATGCTTATTTGAAGCCTGAAGAAGAGGAAATGTTGTTATCTCTTTTGAAGAAGTACAGGGCAGCTTTAGGGTGGTCTATTGCTGATGTTAAAGGTATATCTCCCTCGATTTGCATGCATAAAATCTTATTAACAGATGATCATACTCCTTGTGTGCAAGCCCAAAGACGTCTTAACCCTAATATGAAAGAAGTTGTGCGGGCAGAAATTCATAAGTTGCTGGATTCAGGTATTATCTATCCTATCTCAGATAGCTCGTGGGTTAGCCCAGTTCAGGTTGTTCCGAAAAAGGGGGGTATTACGGTTGTTAGTAATGATAAAAATGAATTAATACCTACCAGGACTGTGACTGGGTGGAGGGTTTGTATAGATTATAGAAAGCTTAATGCTGCGACCCGAAAAGATCACTTCCCGCTACCTTTCATTGATCAGATGTTAGAACGCCTAGCTGGTTATGCATATTACTGTTTTCTTGATGGTTTTTCGGGTTATTTTCAAATTCCTATTGCTCCAGAAGATGAGGAAAAAACCACATTTACATGCCCGTTTGGTACGTTCGCTTTTAGAAGAATGTCTTTTGGCCTTTGTAATGCACCTGCTACTTTTCAAAGATGTGTGATGTCTATATTTTCTGATATGGTTGGTGACATTATTGAAGTTTTCATGGACGATTTCTCTGTGTTTGGCATGTCTTTTGATTGTTGTTTGACTAATCTGGAACGTGTTTTAGCGAGATGTGTGGAAACTGACCTTGTGCTTAATTGGGAAAAATGTCATTTTATGGTCACTGAAGGTATTGTTCTAGGACATAAAGTTTCTGCCCAGGGAATTGAAGTTGATAGGGCTAAGGTTGAGGTTATTGAAAAGTTACCTCCTCCTACGTCCGTAAAAGCTGTTAGAAGTTTTTTAGGACACGCTGGTTTTTACAGAAGGTTTATTAAAGATTTTGCTAAAATTGCAAAACCTCTTTGTAATTTACTAGTAAAAGATACACCTTTTCTGATGGATGAAAACTGTTTGCATGCTTTTAATGTTTTGAAACAAGCTTTAACTTCTTCTCCTATTATAGTTGCTCCTGATTGGACTTTGCCTTTTGAATTAATGTGTGATGCGAGTGATTTTGCTTTAGGGGCAGTTCTGGGCCAACGAAGAGAGAAGAGTCTGCATGTTATTTGTTATGCTAGTAGGGTGTTGAATGATGCTCAAATTAATTATGCAACTACTGAAAAAGAGTTTCTAGCGATCGTTTTTGCTCTTGATAAATTTCGTTCTTATCTTGTTGGATCAAAAGTGATAGTTTTTACTGATCACTCTGCATTGAGGCATCTTCTATCGAAGAAAGATGCAAAACCTAGACTAATAAGATGGGTTTTACTACTGCAGGAGTTTGATTTAGAAATAAGAGACAAAAAGGGGTCGGAAAACCTTGTTGCTGACCACTTGTCTCGTTTAGAGCATACACAAGCTGTAATTCCTGAGAAACCAATAAATGATGAGTTTCCAGATGAGGGCCTTTGGGCCATTGATAAATCTATAGTTCCTTGGTTTGCTGATTATGTGAATTTCCTAGTTTCTAACATTGTTCCGCAGGACCTAAGTTACCACCAGAAAAAGAAGTTCTTTGCCGATGTCAAGCATTATATGTGGGATGACCCCTTGCTCTTTAAACGATGTGCTGACGGAATTGTGAGGAGATGTGTGCCCGAGGAAGAGATGGTCCAGATTCTCAACGATTGTCATTCCTCGCCTTACGGTGGTCATCATGGGGCTGAGCGGACAGCAGCAAAAGTTCTGCAAAGCGGCTTCTATTGGCCAACTCTTTTTAAGGATACTAGGAGTTTTGTGATGGCGTGTGATAGATGCCAGCGTACTGGAACCATCGGTAAGAGGCATGAAATGCCTCAACAAGGTATTTTTGAAGTTGAATTGTTTGATTTGTGGGGTCTGGACTTTATGGGTCCATTTCCTCCTTCTAATGGTAAGCTTTATATTCTTGTTGCGGTCGAATATGTGTCTAAATGGGTAGAGGCAATTGCCTTACCTGATAATACCGCAAAAAGTGTGGTCAAGTTCGTTAGGTCTCTCATATCCCGCTTTGGTGTGCCTAGAGCTTTCATTTGCGATAATGGTGTGCATTTTAAAAATTCTCAGTTTTTATCCTTGCTTTCCAAATTTGGTTGTCATCTCAAATCTGGAACCACTTACCATCCGCAATCAAGTGGACAGGTAGAGGTTTCCAACCGCGAGATTAAGTCTATTCTTGAAAAAACAGTGAACTCAACTCGGAAAGATTGGTCATTAAAGTTGCTTGATGCATTATGGGCTTATAGGACTGCCTATAAAACACCCTTAGGGATGTCTCCGTAAAGGTTAGTCTATGGTAAGTCTTGTCATCTCCCTGTTGAGTTAGAACACCGTGCTTATTGGGCTGTCAAAACTTTGAATTATGACTTGAAAGCTGCAGGTGAAAAGAGATTGCTTCAGTTGAATGAACTTGATGAGATTCGCCGAGAATCCTATGAGAGCTCTCGAATTTTTAAAGAAAGGACTAAGGCATGGCATGATAAAAAAATTCTAAGGAGGGAGTTTAAGGAAGGGCAAGAAGTTTTGTTATTTAACTCTCGTCTTAAGCTTTTTCCAGGTAAACTGAAATCCAGGTGGTCAGGGCCCTTTGTTGTGACCAAAGTCCATCCTTATGGAGCAATTGAGATCGAGGGCAGTGAGAAGAGGCCATTTGTGGTCAATGGACAAAGATTGAAACACTTTTTTCGCGGGGAGCCAGTTTCTAATGCTGAGTCAAACACCCCCCATTCGGATTGACGTATTTTTTTAAGTGTCTAGCTCTAGACGTTAACTAAAGCGCTTATTGGGAGGCAACCCAACATTCATTACATTATCCTTTACTTTTCAGTTTTTTTTTCAGCTTTCTACTTTCTTCCTTTTCTGTTTTTTTCCTTTTGTTTGCAGAATAAATGATGATCCGATGATGGAGCATAGCTTGGATATAATCCAGCTGAGTTCTTCTAAATAAATATTTCAGGGAGTACTCTTTTCCCTTCCTCTTTTACTGATTAACATTGAGGACAATGTTTTCTTCAAGTGTGGGGGAGGTTGTTTGGTTTTGGCCTTAAATTTCAGCAGCTTTGAGCTTGAATTCTTCCCCAGTTTGGACCTTTTATGGCCAATGATGAGTTTAATGCCTTGTTAGTGTCAATTTTAGTTAGTTTCTAACATAGTGCTAGTTTTTTTTTACAATATGCCACTGCTATTCATAAATAAAGTATCTATGGATTTTGAGCTTTCTCCTTGTTTCTCAAGTGTGCTGGGCATTTTTTTTAAATGTTAATGCAGTTCTGCAATTCAAATATGTTTTTTTTGGGCAAGGTTTAAACTATAGAATGATGGAATGATTTTCTGAAAAGAAACACTTGCCTTTTAACTTTTGAAGTGCAGTTTGTGTTTTCCTTAGAAGGCTGCTATCCAACTCGTTTTTGATGTTAATCGTACTAGTGTCCAGCTGAGTTTTAAAGTTCAGATTATGCGCTTTCTTTTAATTCTTCAAGAATAGCATGGTCATATGGTTTATACTAGCAATATGTTTGAGTAGCTAAAGTTGATTCTAACTTGGCATTCCTGAGGCAAGTAAGCAAAGCAGACCATGAGGGTCTTCCTGGGAGAATTCTGAGTATTCTGTTGTGCTCAAGTTGGACTTTGCATGTGCTCATTTTTTTTGCTTGAGGACAAGCAAGACCCTAAGTGTGGGGGAATTTGATAGGCCCAATTTTATTATTCAATTTTAATATTTTATCTTGTTATTTTGGGCCTATTTTAATTCATTTTTGGGAATTAATGACTAATTTGGACTTCACTTATTTCTTTATTAGGAAAGGGAGAATTTGGAAAGAATTTTAACTCTTGGGGCCAAATTGCAAGAAATGGATACTTGAAGCTAAAAACATTCCAATCAGCACCTTAGCCATATTGAAGTGCCGTATACCTCTCTTAAGAAGGCATTAGTTTTCAATTTCCAAGTCTTGAACATCATGCGTGAGTATCTCCTTGGCCCCGCAGCGAAATTCCAGCCTTAGTCAAAATTAATGGGTGTAGTCGTTGGAGATTAACTTGCCAATTTTGAAGACCCGAGAATCTGCCACTCCGTCCTATAAAACGCAGCAGCGCAGCAGCAGATAAGGGAGGAGGAACGGAGGTGAAAACTGGAGAGAAAGACAGAGGAACTCAGCCGCTCCTTCATCGATCATCTTCGGTTTTTCATTCTCTATTAATTAGTTAGTTTAATTTCAGATTTCCTAGTTCTTGTATTTCAATTTCAGAACTTTTACTTTCATGTTTATGCTATTGAAAAGTGATTTCTTCCATACCTTGGGTATGATATTTGGCTAGATTTTTACCCGAGGGATTTGGGATTAAAGCTTGGTAATAAGTGATTATCTCTTGTGTTTGGTTCTTCCATTGTAATCGACAGATTATTTTTCCAATTAAATTTATTTTATGAATTTCATTGATGAATTTTGCATTGAGCTCATGCTTAATTCTTATTGTTAGGTATAGTGTGATGCACCGACGGGTGAGGCATGATATTTGAGCCCGTAAAATAAACATGATTCACCTATACTAGACATAGTTGGGGAATTGTGGTGACTTTCAATTGTCGCTTTTTGGCTAGTTAAGTTTAGTGTTCAATCGACGGATTAACACTAGCTTAACCGGTACGCGCTAATATCTCGACGGAGAATTAGCATATTTTAGAACCAATTGTCACTTTAATTGCTTGAACCAACACTGAGATTTTCTATTAATATTAAGTGTATAACCCGAATCCCGAGGGCCATTTTATCTATTGTTTACTTGATTTATTCTTAATTCTGTTTACTTCTTGCTCTTATCTTATCAAAATCAAATCAAAATCAGTTTTTACTTTGTTGATAGAAACTTAAACCATTATAGTTCAATTTGTGCTCCTCGTGGGATCGACCCTGGAATACTCTGGGTTTTACTACGACCGATCTGTACACTTGCCGAAAATAGCGGTCAGGAGACCCTTGGTTAAAGGATCCGCTAGCATGGAGTTTGTACTTATATGTTCAATAGCGACCCTTTTATTCTGAACCCTTTCTTTAACAGCTCGATATTTCACTTCAATGTGTTTTGTCTTGCTCGAGCTCTTGTTGTTGTTAGAGTAAACCACCGTAGAATTGTTGTCACAAAATATCTTGATAGGCTTTGAAACATCATTTAATATTTTCAGCCCATCAATAAAATTGCGCATCCATATTCCATGGTTTGAAGCTTCAAAACAGGCCAACAACTCTGCCTCCATAGTTGAGGTAGCTATCATATCTTGCTTAACACTTTTTCAAGATACAGCACCACACGCTAGTAGATAAACATAGCCTGATGTAGATCTACTACTGTCTTTGCAGCCGGCAAAATCAGAGTCGGAGTATCCAACGACCTCCAAATGATCTGATTTTCTATATGTAAGCATATAGTCCCTTGTTCTCTTTAAGTATCTCATAACTCTTTTGGCCGCCACCCAATGAGTCATTCCTGGATTACTAAGATATCTGCCTAGCATCCCAACAATGTACGCAATATCCGGACGCGTACAAACTTGGGCATACATAAGACTTCCTACAACAGATGCGTAGGGAATCTTTTTCATTTCTTGAATTTCCAGATTTGTTTTAGGGCACTGATCGAGACTAAACTTGTCTCCTTTAGAGATAGGGGTATCACACGGTCTACAATCTTCCATGCCAAATCTTTTAAGGACCTTATCGACATAGTTCCTTTGTGATAACCTTAAGATTACTTGTGATCTCTCACGAAGGATTTCAATTCCTAATACAAAGGAGGCTTCACCAAGATCTTTCATTTCAAAATGTTTTGATAGAAATCTCTTGGTTTCATGCAACATGCCTATGTCATTAGTGGCAAGAAGAATGTCATCAACATATAAGACCAGGAAAAAGATTTTACTCCCACTGAACTTATGATATACACAATCATCTACATCATTCATCTTAAAACCGAAGGATAAAATGACTTGATGAAATTTGTGATGCCATTGACGAGAAGCCTGTTTTAGCCCATAGATGGATTTTGTTAATTTGCAAACCATTTGTTTTGGATCTCCAATCACAAAATTTTCTGGTTGCACCATATAAATAGTTTCATCAATGTCACCATTGAGAAACGCCGTCTTAACATCCATCTGATGAAGCTCTAAATTAAAATGTGCAACTAAAGCCATAATGATTCTAAAAGAGTCCTTTGATGAAACCGGAGAAAAGGTCTCTTTATAATCAATTCCTTCTTTTTGAGTATAACCTTTAGCTACAAGACGAGCTTTATATCTCTCCACATTACCCTTTGAATCCCTTTTGGTTTTAAATATCCATTTACAACCGATGGGTTTACAACCTTCAGGTAATGGGACGAGTTCCCAAACTTTATTGTCTTGCATAGATTTATACTCCTCATTCATTGCCATAATCCACTTTTGAGAATTTGAACTTTTCATGGCTTGACGGAAGTTGATTGGATCATCTTCCATAACTCCACTTTCTTCCTCATGTTCTTGAATAAACACAAGGACATCGTTCTCTATATCCATGCTTGACGCATGTTCTTGGAGATATACAACATAATCATCTGGAATTGCGTATCTCCTTTCTCTAGTGGATCGCCGCAATGGCACGTTTTCTTGTTGCACTTGTTCCAGAGGAAGTTGAGTTTGTTCATTTTGAACAATTTGTTCAGTTTGGAAAGGAGAAGATAAAATAATGCCTTGTTGAGGTTCCTCATTAGTTTCAAAAGAAACATCCGTATGAATTGGTTCAGGTATTGAAATCAATTCTTCCTCAAAGACAACATCCCTAACTTTATTCTTCCCCCCAAACTCAACATCCTCGAAAAATATGGCAGTTCCCGTCTCAAAAATATTTTTATCCTCGGGATTATAAAATTTATATCCCCTAGATCGCTCCGAGTAACCAATAAAGTAACTACTAACTGTTTTGGGTTCCAGTTTCTTTTCATGTGGCCTATACGGCTTTGCCTCAGCTGGACAACCCCAAATATGAAAATGCTTTAAACTAGGCTTTTTACCTGTCCAAAGCTCATAATGTGTTTTAGTAGTTGCTTTAGTTGGCACTCGATTAAGAATATAAGCTGTTGTCTTTAATGCCTCACCCCTGAGGGATTCCGGTAAGATAGAATGAGAAATCATACTTCTTACCATTTCTTTAAGGGTTCTATTACGTCTCTCAGCTACACCATTCATGCTAGGTGAACCCGGCATGGTGTATTGAGGGACAATCCCACATTCCTCTAGAAATTTGGCAAAAGGCCCTGGACGTTGTTCACCTGAGCCGTCATACCTCCCATAGTATTCACCACCACGGTCGGATTTGACTTTCTTTATGCGTTTGTTGAGTTGATTCTCAACTTCCGCTTTGTAAGATTTAAACACGTCCAAGACTTGAGATTTTCATGTATAAGAAATAAGTATGCATATCTAGAGTAATCATCTATGAATGACACAAAATATTGTTGACCATTCCATGAAGGAGTAGGAAATGGCCCACAAATATCCGTGTGTATTAATTCTAAGACATCCGTAGCTCTATATGCACCTTTTTTCTTATTTTTGGTTTGTTTCCCTTTAATGCACTCAATACAAGTATTGAAATCAGAAAAATCAATGGAATCTAGTGTTCCATCGGACACAAGACGTTCAACTCTATTTTTAGAGATGTGACCTAGTTGTTTGTGCCATAAAAAACCAGATTGTGCATTATCAACCTTTCGCTTAGTGCCTCGGGTGTCAACATTTAAAGCATTATTATATGAAGTTATTGTTTCAAGCATGTAAAGATTGTCATATGACATAAAAGAACCAGTCCCCACAATATTTGAATTCAAAGACAAATTAAACCGGAAGTTTCCAAAGGAACAATGATAACCTAATTTGTCCAAATAAGAAACAGAAACCAAATTCCGCCTAAATGACGGAACAATAAAAGTGTCTTTTAAATCCAAATAGAAACCGGTAGATAATAACAATCTAAAATGCCCAATAGCCTCCACATGCACCGCTTTGCCATCTCCCACATAGACGCATCTTTCAGCATCATTTGGCTTGCGGTGGCTCAGACAACCCTGCATACAAATACTGATGTTAGATGTTGAACCGGAGTCTAACCACCAAGTATTTCTAGGCACCGAAGCTAAATTGTTTTCAGTACAAACCAAAGCAAGGACCGTACCTTTCTTCACTTTCCATGTGTGATACTTGGTACAATCCTTCTTCATGTGTCCAGACTTCTTACAGAAGAAACAGGTTGTTTCACCTTCCTTATGTTTCATCTGTACTGGACCCTTAGCAGCTTCATTCTTAATGAGAGTTTTCTTCCTCTTTTTACCCTTATCCTTAGAGGTACTAGCCAAGTGAGCACTTTCTGTCTTATTTTGTTTCATCCTCTCTTCCTCTTGCACGCAATATGAAATGAGCTCATTAAGAGACCACTTCTCCTTTTGGCAGTTATAACTAACCTTAAAAGGATCAAATGCAATAGGAAGAGAGTTCAAGACTATGTGTACGAGAACATCTTCTGATATCTCAATCTTAAGTGTCTTGAGCCTAGAAACAATATAAGACATTTCCATAATATACTCCCTTATATTTCCTTTTCCTGAATACCTTTTGGAAGTAAAGTCTTTTAACAACATGCTTATTTCCGCTTTATCGCTTTTAACAAAACGTTTCTCAATTTCAGTAAGGAAATCCTTGGCATTAGTAACCTCATCGGATACTGCACCCCTAAAAGATTCTGGAATGCCACGCTTTATGATCATAAGACTTAAGCGATTCGAGCGATCCCACTTCTCATAGTACCTTCTTTCATCTTGGGTACTACCATCCGTAAGAGAAGCAGGTTGCCCTACCCTTAATGCTAAGTCAAGATCCATGCAGCCCAAAGTTATTAGAATATTTTCTTTCCATTCCTTAAAATTAGTACCATTTAGGACAGGGATGGAGTTGAGATTGGCAGATATGCTCGAAAAATTAACTGTAGAAAGAACAAGGACAATGAACATATGTTTTAGTGAAATTGTAAAATGATTTTTAACCCATCACAAGATACCAAATGCACCATTAGTATTTCATCTTTGGACAATAATACTAATTGCTAGCGGTACTCTTGTTGTAACAATAAAATATAACAATAATACATATAAAAGAAAAATCCACCTTTGGGTTGACTTTTTCTTTTAAAGTGCAACTTTATAATTGTTATATATTTATTATTACCAAAATGTATATATATAACTTGATAAAATATTAATCTTTCTTTGGGCCGATTAATATTTACTTGAACTATATACAAAGTATGTACTATGTTTGATATTTTATATGAGCAACTTACACAATAGGATCACTTTGGTGATATATTGTTTCCATATACCCATTTAAATATTAAACTTCCTTTTATTTTACAATTTCAGCATTGTCCAAAATAAAGAAATAGACCTTTCTAATGCAAATATATTTATTGCATTCAAGCACTAAAATAATGACAAAAAACGATTGCCAATCTTGCCATAGTGCTAGACAAAATCCACTTGTGGAAGAAAAATATGTTCATTTACTCCGTAACGGTTTAGGTATTTATGTATGGTAAAATATTGCTTTGAAACCACAATTATACGGAGAATTATATCAATGTAGAGGCCAAACAACTTCATGCGTAAAAATGAAGCATTAAAGATTGATCATGCATAAAACCGTAAGCATAAACGTGCAGCGGAAAAACTTAATAAATCATTACTCAATCATTCACACATGAAACGGTTCTTTCTTAATAAACATACTAAGAAAAACTTTCGAACATCAACTTGATTCATAATCCAGACTATATCGAACAAGCACTAAACTCACAAGCCGGAAAAAAAAAATCGATGAAAGCCGGATAAAATTTCATGAAAGCAAAATCAAATTTCATTTTTGGATTATCACAATTCAATACCGTTGTGCCATACCAATTAAGCCTTTAAAATGATGACTTAAATTCATAATATAGCAG